TAACTTTTAATGATTAAACAACTGATTAGTACTGAGAGCATTGAAAACGCAGCTACAAGATCTAAATAGAACTACTTTAGTACTTTTGTGTCATCGTGCATATTGAAATACTTACAACGCAACGTACGCTTCTTCTAGGGATCACAGATAGTTCCTAATTTAACACACAATGAACTAACTGTTGGCAATATTGAAATAAAGTTTTATATTCTATTCAAAATTATTTGAATCTATTAGAGTACGAAAACCTGAAAAGCTATCTTTGGGTCTATAAACTGACAGAGAATAGAGTGTGTCAAAGACTCGACTGAAAACTGTATTAAACATACAATCTCAGCAGTTACTACAATTCATCAACTGTATCTATTAGATTCGTCATAGGAATATCTTTACAACAAAAAAAACGTTGTTATTTGTGTTTTCTTTAAATGGTAAATCCCATGTTTGGGCATAATTGTCATAAAATTCGCACTGAAATACTTAAAAATACGTTGATTTCAGCCGAAGACATTAAAATAAAAATTATATTTTTCGCTAATCAGAAATTATACTGGCAATGAAGATAACTACTTCTACTGTTACTACTTATGGCATACTAAACGAGAACAAGTTATACATCGATCAATACTTAAAACTCTAGCTTATTTTTTAAGCAAAAACAATTCGACAGCTATTCAACTTTTAAACCCACGTAATGAATTTTCTAACTATGAAATCATACATAAAGCGTGATATTACGCAGATATTACCTATTTTTGAAACTTAATGTTTAATGAGTGTAGGAGTATATAGCGAAGAAAGAAAATGCTTTCTAATTTCTATCTACCTTATAGATCTTGGTCAACACGTCTGTCATGGTCTCGATCGACCTAGCCGGTTTTTCAGCATTCTGGACCTCTTCCCTGATGAATATGTTTATATTTCGCTACACCAGTTAGATTTTTTTAAACTTTTGAGCTTCCGTCTTGCAATACAGTCATTTTCATCTTTCTCGGTGTGGTGTAAACGTGGAAGTAAAGGAAAATATATTCAATCGGTAGTATTTAATCCTTTTTGGCTGAAACACTTGACGTCGAAAATACAGTAACATTTCATCTTTAGAATTCTTAATATATATATATAGATGTGGGCGGTGTTCGAGTTTTTACGCAGCAGCTATCTTATAAAAAAAAAGTGTGTGCATAATTTTTCTGAGACTTGGTTCATATTGTTTGTCATCATAGAACATGTCTTTCAACGTAAAATGGACTACTAATCAAGAAATAAACTATGTGCAATCAGAAGTCAACTATTAATTTCTCTTGAACTTTTATATTTAACAAAAGCTAGAATCGTGAATATCAGAGAGAGAAAAAATAAACTCATCGAATGAGGTGATGATTACGGAAACTGTTTATGACATTATAAGCTATCAGTGGTTGCTCAATAGAATGTCGAGTAAAACAAGTCAATTTTTTTTATATGTACACATTGCGAAAAGAAATATTTTGATAAAATTCATCATTCACTAACAGAAAGGAAGAGAAAAAAAACATTGATCAATGCTGTACATGAAAGCGGTGTTCTGAGTATGAATGTCATGCCTGACTTTTAATAGAGTAGTTTTTTCATAAAATAAAACTTATACAAATGCATTTTTCTTCTATTTCTTTCGATTCAATCTCTATACATAGTAGTATTTCAGAGAAATTTGCCATTCATTCTGCTTTTCGAGGTGCGATGGAAGCACAAAAAAATAATTGAAAAAGATACTGTGATGTTGACAGGAAATCTATTTAGTATTTAAAACTCTGACTTATCTCAAAATACACTTTTCAATAGTTAATTTTATCAAAGGTTTTGATAAACTAGTACAATACAATTACAAGATTAAAATCGATTGAACAGATTTTATAACTTAAACTTTGATGTTTTGTATAGAATACTTTGAAAAAGTGCTATGTTGAAAGCCTACAATTCCTACAAAATCAAATTTTTTAGGTATCACTTAATCGTGATTTCTTTGAAATTTTCGATTGCTGACTTAGTAACTATTCTATGAAACTGACTCGCTCAATTTGTTATTATATCCATATATAGTAATTTCAATACTCCTAACCTGTTTCATTTCTTAAAAACACTCTTTTACTGGAAAATTGTCTCCTATTATGTCGAACTCCTGGTGTCAAATTTTCGATTAAAAATAAGTTGGCATATACCTGTTCTTTCAGTTTTAAACCTTTCTGATATCTGCAACATGTGATTTTGTTCGTAGATGAACTTACTGCAAACGTTCTTATAGAAAATTCGAAATAAAGTTATTGTTGCGTTTACTTTTTTTATATTGTTGTTCGTTGCTGCTACACGATCATTTTATAAAGGTATGTGTTCTAGAAACAATATTCTCATGTATTTACTGTTTCTTTTTATTTCAGAAGTCATACAGAAGCCTATGTAAATATCAACGTTGAATTCTAGTTAAACTTGTTCTAATGCAAATATGAGTAATATGGCTTCTTGAGCAAAAAAGGAAGAGACATTGCATAGTGTAGTCAGATGAAATAGAATAACATGAATTGTTTGTTATTGCTCTGTCTCTTCAATTGTGTTATTTTGTGCATGTTACTTTCTTCATTGGCATCTAAAAACTTCACAAAAAAAATGTGTAGCCAACATTAGACCAAGTTTTCTTTCATATATTTCTATTGACTATTGTTCATATCCAGACGTATAATAAAGCTTTATTTGTGGTTGTTTACACACGTTGTTTGAGAAAAAAAACTATTTAAATAAAACCATATAGTCAAGCGAAACACTCGCTGAAGTAATTAGATTAGAACTTGAACTATACCTGTAAGAATTCTATTCTTACTCAAAATATGACTGTTGCTTTGTTTCTTATATTGTTTTTAGACAAAGATGAACTTGGAGAATAAATTTTATTTTAGACTTTTAAATATTGTCAATGTCAAACATAATTTACAAGTCTCATGTTTACAATGAGAATAGTGCTCGTTAAACTTTACTTTGGTTTCTAACTGACTAGGATTAGTCTTCTGCTCTCTTACATGAGCTTTGTTCAAATTTGTTTTTTTCCATTTCAGAAAAACGTGTTTAAACAAATGTCACTCAACTTTCTTGGCTATCTAGATATTTATTAATTTCGACGATAAATTGTTTGTTTTTCAAATCTTAGCATTAGTAAAAAAAAAGGATGCTGCTACCACTTAATCATCGTCTGCTAGATTACTCCAGTATATGTTCGTAAAAGTTGAAAAGTCCATATAAGTGTATTTACTGCAGTAAGGATGATGCTAATACAACTAAGAATTTCATAAAACAACAAAACCCATTAGAAGGCACTAAGCCAAATGGCACAACATTTTATGTTCTTCTGCTATCTTGGTTTTTCACGATGGGCTTTATATCACAATTCTGCATTAGGTGTTGTATTGACCAGCAGGATTATTTGCATATTAAAAAAAAATGATAAGCCATACATATTTAATAATGGTATATAGATATTTAAATCAAAAAAATTTTAAACTGAATACTTCCACTACTCAGATAAAGGATTTCAAGCAAATGGAAGAATAATTGTAGACACAATATAAAATGTTGTTATTGATACTATTTCCCTCAACTATAGTTACTTTGATAATTTAGTCAGAAATGAACATGAGAACATGAATGAATTCTTTGATATCTTGCGAAGATATAGTCTTATTGAGACAGTAGAGTTTAAACATTGTATAAATCTTTAAAACTATAAGAAAACAACCATCGCAGATATTCAATCAGAAGATCATCATAAAAATCACAATATTGTTTAAAAATTGGTTAATATTTAGTTTTACATAGAAGTAAAACTTTGAATAAACAACAAATTTGATGAACAATCTATCAATGGTTGCATTTGCTTTGATGACGTAGTATATATCATTCAAAAGTACTTGAATAGTTTATAATTCTCTTCGTAATGATACAATACATATTGCTGAGTCTGTAATATTACAACAAAAATGTTAACTTCCAAACTGATCAACATTTAGATAAATAATCTAATTTCGAATGAAAACTGAAGTTTGTTTTCAGAGTGAATTAAGTCGTTGTCGAAACCAATCCTGCCCCAGCCGAAGGTATATTGTAATTTGGAGGGTGTTGGTGTGTATTTGAGAAGAGAACCTCCGTCCACGTCACACTGACACCCTTATTCAATACAATTAAATAATGTATGCATTTATTCAACGAGTATACCTTTAATTTCTTTTTTTTTTGTTTTCAAGTGCCGTTTGGTTTCTAGATGATGAATACAAGAAGCTCTTAAAAGATGTGGGCCCTAATGTATCATTAGTCTGTGTACAGAATCTCAACCCTTCTGATGGTTTAAAAAATAAAGAAAATAATTGTTCTGCTACTGTTAAAAAAGAAGAGATTTTTAACGAAAAAATTTTTATACAAGAAGAAACAAATTCTCCTGATTCAAGTTATGAACCAAGTGAGCAAGAAGAAACTTTATCTCAAAAAGTTGACGAAAGCGTGTGGGTGGACGTGTTCGAGTCATCAACAACCTATACCCACACCCACACCCTTCTGATGCAGCAATTTCATGAAACTAGATTAACTCTTTGAAGACGGGAAGCCTATATATAGGCAACGGCTCTCTATCGACTTGTAACGCACTTGAATATGTCTCTCATTATATAGTGGTGATCTACATTTAGTGCAGACTATGGACTCTTCACCACCGATGTGATGTTACACCACCATATGTATTGTATCTTGATACACCTTCTTTCTAGCAGAGATATTATTTCGAAGTTTCGAGGACGTGATCTTTTTGAAAAGTAATCCCGTCCTCAAAGGGTTAGAAGAATAAAATTTTTTAAAAATTAAATAAAAAAAGCTACATAAAGTATTTTGATTAGCAAGGTGTGATAGAAAATGATTGTTTTTAAATGATGTTTTGATTATTGTCTATAATATGTTCGATGGAATGATGATATAGAATGTTTAATAATTCATTCACCAATGTGTGGAAATTTATTATTAATAACAGAAACTAATGCAGCATAAACAGATGTATAAAATGGTGAAGCTATTTGTGATTGAATGGTAGCACGAGCAAGTAAACCATGATCATGAACAATATTATCTTGAAATATTTCACCAACCATTATTGATAAATTTGATGTCTTAACTTTGTTTCAATGATCACTAATAGTTTTTTCTCAAAGCCTTCCAGGCTAAACGTTGATATTCAACTGTTGATTTATTCGTTGATATGGTCTAAAATAAAATAGAAAAATATAGTTGAATGATTTAAGCAAATGATACTTATAAAAGACAAAGTTTAGCTGGTGACATATATGATCCAATAGTATGTAATGGTTCTGCAGGTGTTGATTGAATTGGAAGAGAATTTGACGTTTGTTTTAATTGTATATCATTTGTCTTTCGTTATTATTTGTCATCATCTTTACTATGTGATTCTGATGATAATGATTCAGATAAACTTCGACGAATTCATTTAACAGTTTTTTCATATTGTGGTAAATTAAATGTTGAACGATGACTAGATGAAGATGAAGGATCGGATTCACCGATTATCTTTGATTTCGACATTTTTATTGAATGATATTCGATTTAAGATTTTAATGTGTAATCTTGTTGTTTTGTAATGTTTTATTATATGCAAAGCCAATCAGGAGATGCTCTGATTGACCAATTGTAATACGTGCCGTTACCTATCTATAATATAGTTTATTCAAAGAAGACAATCAATACATTACTTCGAAGTCGAAGTGTCTCTGTGGGTATTTTATTCTCAGGCATTTACACCCCTACTCGAGACCCAAGATTTCGAGTGTCTACATATTTTTTCATTTGACAACCTATTTCAACTGAAGATAGAACTTCTTAAACTCTGAATAATAGCATCAAGCAGTATTCTATAAATCTTCATCAATGACATACGATTATGCTTCTAACAAGATTTTTATGTTTATCTTCTAACTCATCCTGGTAGCAGGTGTCGAACAGTAACTGTTGAATCTGATAAACTAACAGTTCGAATGAAAAATTAATTGCCGTCTGTTCTGGCTCCTTTTCATGTTGATGTGGTCTTTTGTTTACCATGTACTATAAATCAATATTTATTGGTCATATATCAACTATTACTATTCTTTGCTTATACTTAATCGATAATGTATACCTTGGCTTATTCTCTCATTGTATTACTTCAAGTATTGTGAGTTTTATACGTAATTACAAGCCTAAATTTTGTTTGTACATGCAATTATATTTACCATACCATTCATATGATGCACACGCATGTTTCTATGTTCTATGATACTCTGGTACCAATTTTCTATGCTGTAATTTTTCTTGTATTTAAATGATCATGAAAATAATGCATGCTGAAATTATAACGAAGAGCAGTTTGAAGATGATTAAACATGTTTATTTTGTTGATAAACGATGTATATCGAAGAGTACAATTAGAGCAATAGTACAATGAACAAATGCGTGAATAAAGATTTGACACTCGATATAAATTATATACATATTGCAATTCGTTAAATAAATCAACTTAAGAGGGCGTCCATGAGATCATCGAGGAATTTTTAAAGGGTCCATACTCCCGAAAATTAGTGTATCATCTTTGTTTTTTATGTTTCGTTCTGGCGACGTGTTTGTTATATGCTATATTAATATAAGCTATTAAATAATCGAACTCATGTAGCGTTTGTGCTCATGTAACAGCAGTTTATGACTACTTATTATAGTAATACAATAAATCTTGATGTGAACATTTATTCAACTCTGACTTATAGTTCATTGGATAATAGACAAGCAGACGGTTAAAACTCTCATCGAGTTACGATAGGGATGTGGATGTAAATTGTGTATTCACTATGCCACACTCAATATTCTCAGTGTAAGAGAAGCGTCGCTAGAAAATTGGTCGTAAAAGTCGCTTCATGCGACATCAAAAGCAAATAAACAGCTTTTGATTGTTCAAAGAAAATAACAGCAAATATGACCAATATACTATGTGAGAAAGCCATACTCTTTGTCAAACATTTTCTAGAGTATATCATCTCCGATCTTATGATGATTGACGTTCATGGGTCATTCTATTCTTCACCATGTCAGATATATGCACTCGAATATAATTTTATTGGCCAGTATGAAACAATGCAAGCTGGTATCGACATTTTCTTGTCATACATCAATCTAAAACCGACTAATTGGAATTCCAGTCGTTGTTTCTCGACCAGTCGAATAAAAAAAAAACAATACCAATGGATGTGTAATGACTTGCCCAATTGATTTATTTGCCGTTCAAAAGAAATCTATCGCCTTGATTTTAAAGCATTCGACTGCTAATTAGAAGACTATTTGAATGGTGCTTGAACACTATCGCACTGTAGATCCTCACACATACATCGTATGCAGCAACACGGGTAAAGTCTCACGGATAACTAAAACGCAATAGTATAGTTTTTATAGCTGTTCTTGTTTTGTTACCCGATGTTCTTACTATTGTTTTTTACTCATAAAACATTCAATCAAAGTTTGTATGTCAATAACGATCTAGATCTGATGGTTTTGATGGAGGAATAAGACACTAACGCTCACACCCACACTTATACCCTAGATTTTCAATTGAAAAGGTCGAAAATTGCTTTATATTAAATAATGTGAAAGGTAGTCAATTACTAACCACTTTTAGTCAGAGAGAAGTTTATCTTAATGTGTATGTACAATCTACTTTATTGTTGTGAGTGAGGGTTATATATATATATCGGTTCGGAACAGAAGGAATGTACTAGAAAATCCCAGAGAGTACCAAAGAGAACATACAAGATTCACACAGAGCGAAAATACTGGAAGGTACTGGAAACGAAAACATATATCTATTCACGCATAACAACAGAGCGCAAGATGGAATACATATATACGATGATAACACAACAATGATAGAACGAAAAGATGATCCATGAGAGAGGACGCCACCTAACAATAAACAAGTGAAATTTTCTATTGCATAATTTGTATGTAATAATTAATTCTGTAAACTTAAACTCTTTCAAGATAAATCGGACACAAAGATGCTCAGATCAAGTAAAACAGTGCTATGATACCTTTTCATACAAATATTTACTGTAAGTAAATATGCAAAGAAAATTCTTAGGAAGTCATATAATAAAATAAAAGGGTTAAAGAAAAGAAGAAAAATACAGCTTTCAACAGAATATTTTTTTTATAAGCAACGTGCTTTTCTTCGTGCGAAGTCGTTTGAAAACAAGAAGAAAAAAAAAATGCTATCGTCAACTTCAACGCCATACGACATACTTGGAGCAAAAAAAACTGATAATAATTATAATTTACGTGTAGCATATCGTGCACGAATTCATGAATACAATCAAGATCGACTTAAAAACCCTAGAAGTCGTAATATTACAGCTGAAAAATTTCGACTTATTTGTCGTGCTTATGAAACATTATCTGATCATGATAAACGTAAAAAATATGATAATAGTGGTGAATGGATATCAAATTTAGCTTTGCAAAAATATACATTACAACAATTAGCTGCTGAGCCTGAACTTTTACAAGAATTAAAAAATCGTTTAAAAGATGTTACACTAAAAATGATAAATTCAAAAGATTCACAAACAAGACAAACACCACTCTATTGCGCAGCACGTGTTTGCAATCTAGAAGCTGTCTACTATTTAACAGAACAAGGAGCTGAACCTGATTTAGCACAGAGAATAGGAAGTTCAGCTTTACATGTTAGTGCTTTTTACGGACATCCAGAAATAGTTCGTTGTTTATTGGAGAGTGGAGCCGATTATCGAATAAAAAATGATTGTGAAAATACAGCAGAAGATGAATCTTATGATAATGAGGTAAAACAAACGTTTGCCAATTTGAAAATGACACCTTTTGTACAAACAGCTGCAAATCAACTTGATTGGTTAAAAAATAATATTGATAAAATCAAGCATATTGATGAACAATATTATATACAACGACAAACATTACTTCATTGTGCTAGTAAAAAAGGTTATATAGATGTTGTTCGTTGGTTAGTCGAAAAATGTTCAGCCGATCTAGATATCGTTGATATTAATTTAAATTCAGCTTTGCATCTTGCTGCCTATGGTGGACATGATTCAATAGTAGAATATCTTATTAATCGAGGTGCTAATCCACTTTTATTAAATAAATGGTGTATGACAGCTGAAGAAGAAGGTTCTTTTCATGGAAAAAAGATTACGAATCTATTTGAATCGATGCGTACACGAGATATGTTTAGAATGGCTGCTGATGGTGTCGATTGGTGGTTTGAATATTATTTTGGTGATAAATCACCCGATACAGTTAATGATAATGGCGTAAGTTTACTGTATGTTGCATGCCGTTGTGGTAAAACATCAATTGCAAAATGGCTTTTAGAAAAAGGAGCTAATATCAATATAAAACTTTCAAAAGAACCAGGAAGTACGCCATTACATGGTGCTGTCTATCATGGACATATTTCAACAGTTGACTTATTATTATCACATGGAGCTGATATAAATATAAAAAATACCTATGATACAGTTGCTTTTGATGATGCACAAACGGATGAGATGAAACGACATTTACAACAATATCGAACTAATTTGAAAGATAATAAATTACTTGATGTACATTTATATGGTGATGGCGCTAAATCTGGTACGCAACCATTAGCAAAATTACAAATACACTGTAATGCTAAATATAGCGATCTTATAGAAGCAATGCCTGATTCAATGCGAGATCAGTTTCCAAATTTTTCTATAGCTCGACGCCCATTAAATTTTGAAGATGATAAGACAACAATTCTATCAGCTGTATGTCGTGCTCGATATGGAACATCAAAATTCGTTCAATTACCACTATGTATCACAGCACATGAAAGAGTACGTTATAAAAAAGCTGGTCATGTTCTTCGAGATGAACTTCCTGCTAGTGATATAAGTGAATTTCATCAAAAGTTTCAACCAAATTGTCCAAAATTAACAATGAAAATTTCTCGATTAGATAAAAGTCAAACATTTACTATTAAGAATTTATTGTTTACTTATCCGAATAATTGTGTTGATCAAGATGTTATAATTGATGTTGAATATATAATGTCGCCAGATATTGGTACAGTCAATTTGCCAGGATGCATTTGTCTTTTTCAAACAAGATATGTTAATAGATATAAATTAAAAAATATGCCAACCGTATTGTTTAATGGTGAACCAAATGCTAAACTGTATAATTTAGCTCCTTTATCATCTTACTGGTTTTCTTATAGAACACGACATACACGTTTAATTTCGATAGGTGAAACCATACATGCTTTTATTCGTCATATTGATATTATTCCTTCTCTATTAACTCTTCCACCAGATATGTTTATTCAAGTTGTTGTCGGAAAATTATTTCAAACTCGTAATAAACCAATTTTTTGTCAATGTTTAAAAATTCGTGAACACAATAAAACTGTCTTTCCTCATATTGCTTATCATGGAACAAATATAAAAGCTATAGAATCAATTCTTATGGATGGACTTGTTATGCCGAGTACGGTAGTT